GTTTGAACACAGGCACAACCAACCAGCTGCTCAGCACTTACAGTGATACTCATTCATCAAAATGAGCTGATATTGTTTCTGTGTTACCCGTTTTTTCTACAGTACAATTATACTTTGGACTTTGCAGATTATGCTGCTGACGGCCCTGGAGTCATGTCCGTCGCATGTGGTGGCTGCACTTGCTTCTCATCTTACATCTCATCAAGATGTGGTGTCGCCGCTGCTGAATGGCGTAGCTCAAGCGGTAGCAGTAGCCTTTGCCCGCCGCATTAATGATCCAGACACTTTCGAGCAGGTAAACATGCCCATCGTTCTCGCGTACGATATAATAGATCTCTTGAAATACGCTTGTCGAAGTGTTGAAGTGTAACAACTGCAACACTTGAGTTCACCTGATTTAATCATGCTTGATTGAAAGGATACCCCAGTTTGATCACATAATAGGTACAAAAGGCCCCTTCTGTAACGTTCGGCGTTAGGAAAAAAGTAAAATCTATGACCCAACTTTTGCACCGCTCCTCGTGCCGCGATCTTTTAAAGTTGTCCTTGTGGAAATGGGAATTCAAAAATAGTTTAACGTAAATGACCGTCCAAACTGTGGGCTAAAAGCACCGAGATAATAGCTAGCTCTTTGCGCGTAGTGATTGGAGAACTACCGAGAGCCCTACGGCAAATCCGCCATTTTACGAAGAAGGAGCTTGACTACTGGCCCGGTTGTCGTCATACTCCACTCTTTTATGTTGAAAGTTTTGACTTCTACGAAGCCGTGGGGGGGGGGGGTCGTGTGCATTTTTTGTAATAAAACGTCAGGCCTACTTTGGGTAGTCTTCTTCTCAACCACCAACCAGCTTCCTACCATAACCAATTTCGCCGCTACCTAGGCTGTTCTGGAATCGAAATAAAAAGTTTTGTCTCTGACACAGCTCATTTCTATGTGGCATCTGTCATGGGTGAGCCTAGGCAGACAACGTAGCGCTAGTAAACTATATGAGAGGAATTAAGACGATAAATCACTGGAAATGCTGCATAAGTAAGAAAAAGAAAAAACACAAAAGTTTGGACCAGTACTTCGGTCACTTTGATGTTATTACAACTTACGATCAGGTCAGGTGAGTTCTGGTTAAGTTTCATGTACTGAATGGCTCTCTGTAAGCCCATGGTTAGGGTAAGGTTTTTGTCTGGGCCTGCACTGCTGCGCAAGTCTGGCATCCCGGACGCCTATTCCTGTCGGAGTATTTGAAAATCGGAACATTCCAACAACATTTTTAACAGAAATGAAGGTAAAGGAATGCTATTCGAAATGCAAGTCGCTTTTTATTCCATTGGGGTGACTCCTACAGATCACCCAACAACAGAATTTTGAATAGATTTGTTGGATAATCTTCCCATGGTCATCATCACAATGGTGATCTTTGCCATGGTTTCTTACAGAATTCTAGCAAATATCGAAACAATGAGTGTCGTACTGACCACGAGCCTTCACCGTCGAGTTCTGAACATTTTTTGTGAAAAACTCTCATTATGAAAATAGCGCACTCAATGTCTTTCGGGGACAGCATTCCCCGTCTTTGCCCCCTTAACAATATAATTTCTCTCACTTAATTCTGAAATTGAGAAACGGACCCAATGCTGAACGGATTCAAAAAATGAGAATGACACTCAAAACTTTCGTGCATGTATTTTAACACGTTGACGACAACGCGCGTTTTGGGTTTTTGCGCCGCGTGGGACCACGGCGATTTTGCAGGCGCCGCCGCCTCACATCAAATCCGTGAATTTTGAGCTTTAATACGCAAAACTCGGATGCAACAAAATGTTTCGAATGATATTCGATGTGTCAAACTTATCAGAAGGAACAACTGTAAAAGTTCGATCGAATTGACGTTTTCTGGCAATGAAAAGGCAAGTTTCAGTTGCTTTTGCTGTAGTGAACCTCAAAATTATTTTTGACGCGGTTGCTCCACTAAAAACATATATCTTGCTATATGTGTAGGTCTGTACTTCTACTGCTCTTTTTTATGACCAAGATTGTCAGAATATAAAGGAAACTAGGAATGAACACAATTGGGAAATTCGTAACTTGGAAAACCTTCGCTAAAAGGAGCATATTCAACCATTCGATGAACCTCGCCGTGTCTATTCATAGAATAAGGATAAAAGGATAAAGCATTTGCCGTTGATCAATCCCTTTTTGGGATGCGGCACGCATTCTACTTCCATTTGTACATTCGTAGTGGCGTTTGAATGCGATGTGGCCTATACAATGACTTGCGGGGGCCAGCCGATGTACAAGTCAGTGTTTTTATCCTCCCAGACAAGTCTGGTACCAATTAACCGACCCCGGAGGGATGGAAGGCTTGGTTGGCGGCGACTCACGACCCAGGATTTGATCCCCGGACCACTCGCGTGGTTAGCGTGCCACTTGCCACTACACCCTTCCGCCCTGGTCTATAGAATAGCTGCAAAAAATTAGAAAAGAACTAGGGCATGCGCGAAAAAAATAAATATTTTGTGTGTGCAGCGCATGCGCTGCACACGGTCCCACACGGTGCTCAAGGTGTGATGCGCATGCGCTGCACAATGTCGTCAACGTG